TTCGACGACCTCCTTGCCTATTCTATATTCCTATCACTTTTCCGAGCAAATGAGCCCAAATCATAGATGGCGCTGATCGCAGGCGGTAAAATTTTTATTCGAACTAAATACTAGAAATCAATTCGGCTATAGAAAATTGATAAATTTCCAAGTATTTGCAATTAATTCATGAACATTTATAGCTGCACAGCAAAGTTAGAATTATAGGCAACATTCTTATAGGATGTTTAATTTAATAATTAATACTTACATGAGCGGTAGGTTTTGTATTTCCTGTAGTAAATAAGATTGCTACAGAAAAGTTTTTTCTTGCATAATATTCTTATTATTTTGTAATAAATATATACTAGCATAAGCATATAAAATAAATTTTTTTATTAAGAAATTTTATTTACAGTTGTTTATTTACAATGTTTTCACAGGCGAAAAGTGAATACAAAATCAAAATTAGATTGAAAAAAACTACGAACTATGGACGGGAATCGAACACCCCGCAACTCCAGCATAGGGATTTTCGGTTATCGCCCTTATGAAAACCATTGGAAATAAATTTGCAGTTAAAGAAGTAATGAAACTTTAATCGTAAATATCTCAAAAACTATTGAGTAGCTGCGGCTATAATGATACATTTTCTTAAACTGCATGACGATATCTACAAACCTGCAAGGTTTTAACTAAAACCGTGACCCAAAGGACTTGCACTCTCCTTGTTAGTGAATAGTAAATACCTTTAATATCTTTTAGAGATATAATACAGCATTCATTTAAAGACTCATACATTTTAACACGCTCTTTAAAACATCATGCTATATAATGAAGAAATGTTAATATCAAAAAAATTAAATTAATAAAAGCATACTTTATATTACTGTAATTAATAATTTATAATAAACATGCATTTAAAGTCAATGATTTTAAAAAGAGTCATTTTTGAAAATTGTACACTGTGGACCATATTTTGAATTTAGAAAATATTATAAGTACTTTTAAGTATTGTTATTGCAAGGGAGACTACTTAATATTAGGATATAAAAGCACTTAACTATGGTAGGTTTATTATTTGAAAAAAAAATTCAAATTTAACACAAATAATTTATTGCAAACTCTGGTTACTTGTGTTAAGAAATCTTTAAGGCAAAGAATATACCTTAGATGAGCGATCAACACCTGCCAGGCCTTTGGACTTTGGAGGCCCATCTACTATTTAAATGTAAAAATAAGAACTATAAATTCTATCATTTCATAAAATTAGTAACTTAAATGCTTTTAACGAGTACTTCACTCAGCTAAAATATGAGTATGCACTTTTTTATAAAGATGAATATATAAAAAATGATCAACAATTTAAATATGGTTATAGAGAAGCATTGAAGTATAAGAAAAAGCGAAATTTTGATGATTTCATGATGAATACGCGATGTGTATGTAATATACAACAGGAGAGGTAAAACTTGAAACGCAATCAGAACACAACAACGTGCATATTTCTAAGGGCTAAAGAACTGAAAATGTCAATTGCTTCATAATTAGTCTAGTAAACCTTGAGTTCTTGTTGTGGGCTTGAATTATGCATAACTGAACGTGATATGTTGCCCATCTGAACAACAATTCTTTCCATGGCTGCTTCCGTCTCGACCAAACGACGTCTCAGTTGATCTATCTCTATGTCTCCTGCCGCTTCTTGTGTTCCAGCATGTATAACATTACCAAATGTGTTCAAAGACTATACACGAGTACTTACAATATTTTTAATTTTAGTCTAACTTTTTCTTGTTAAATTTATGATATAAATACGTGTGTGTTCTAATTGTGCAAACCTTGCATCATGCAACACCATTTAAAAATCTGATTAGATACTCAAAAAAACATGTACCTTATTTTTCAGTATTTCTTTAAAGGAACTAGCTTTCAAGGAAAACACTGCATTAATGATAATGTAAATCAAATGTTGTCAATATCTCTTAAATATTTAAAAAACTTACGATTCGTTAACTCCTCCATAGTAGGAATAGGTCCTTCTGGAGATGGAGATCTTTCTTTTTGATAATGCATTGTACCACCAGTCATTGCAGTAGCAAAAGCTTCAGGACTGAATACCATTTTCTGAAATTCTTTTTCTGCTGCTGCCCCTGGATATTCTGAAATGATTTCATTATCCGAATTTTTCCGCAACACCTAATAAAATAAGTTGCCATAAGATTTCATAGGATTTACTGAAAGTTATTTAAGTATTGAAATGTCACAGAATATTTCACCTTAACAATTGTATACAAGAAAAACAGGACAATGCCCAATGTATATAATGGCATAATAATTCCTGTGGTACCATTTCCTTTTGGTGCAGGAACAACATGTCCTGCACCTCCCAAAGGTGGCCTCATTTTTAGCACAACATGATCAATTTTATCTACAACTTTGGGTACAATATGAGAAGAAGGTATAGTTCTACCACGCTCCCTCAATGCAGGGTGTAAACCACCTGCATGTGGAGGTGTACGTCGTTCTTGTTTTAAGGTACCTAAAAAATATAAATATTATTTTCTAAAGCATTGTTCAAAAAATATATATAAAACAAGCAAATTTCAACATTCTATTATAGTATTTTATTACTTTTAAACTCCACAGAAATAATATTAGTATATTGTTATTTTACAAAACAAGAAAGCCTATTACACACATTTGTGCTATAACTGTAGGCCAAACTTATTCCCATCTACTCATCTCTAGTTATACTTGCTCTTTTGGCAAGTTGCCAAATAAAAGAGAACTCGAATCTGCTTTCCACACATAATTGGTTAGTTTAATAATACCAAACTCAGACATTTTTTTAAAATGTAGAATTACTAGTTCAGTGATTTAATTCAAATGATGTAACTATATTAACATTAAAATGAAGCTGTGCATGCTGTTTTATTAATAGCTAATGTCACATATTTTAAGCAAAACCTTTCATAATTCTTACTGTGCGGCATTAAAATATGATATCTGATTAAATGTGGAGTTCCTAGTTGAGAAAGAGGTATACCAAAATTTACTTTAAGACAGAGGGAACTATTAAATGACCTGATTTCTTCTAAAACTTGTTTATAAGATTTTCCCAAGCGTTCCCTTTCAGCAAGGAATGTAGACAAATCTATAGCACATCTGGCTAAAATTTCTTCTCTACATAAACTTGCACTTTGTGATGTCAATTTTATAGTTCTCAAAGCATCTCTTATTCTTGGATCAATTTGATGGTGCTTCAGTATGTTTTGACATATTTCATACATAATATCAGCAGCAGTGACATCACTTTCAAAGATTACATCGCAGCATGCTAATAAACATTTGTGACTTTAATTCAATAACAAGAAAAAATAATGCATTAAAATATACTTTGTACTTAGTAATTAACTAGAAATATAAAATTTCAATATGATGAAAAAAGATATTTTTAATTATAATTAAATTTGTCAATTTTCTAAATTCCGTAGAAATAAAATTTAAAAAGTAAATAAATTAAATGTTTTTGTGATCTTCCATCCACAGATTTTCTTTCATTTATAGAATAAAGTGTATTTATAAAATCTTACCAGAATTGTCGGGCGTATGATGTGGTGTGACAGATGCTGTGAGCATAGGATAGAAAATTTTCGGCCATAATACCGCAAAACACCCGGCTACAATGGCTAGGATAAAAATCGTCTTTCTTGGTCCGAAATCCGTTATTTCAGCCATATTCGTATATTTTTCGTTCGTATAGCTCTCGTAATTTCGATAAAAGGTAAAACAACCGTGGATCTTCCACTAACACGTACAGGGATCGCGAAAGCGGATGGAAGGCACAGTGCACTGTCGTCTGCTATTTCTGTCATGGGACAGGGCTGTGTCTATCGGCTTTTACTTTCAGGATATTTTTCTTTAATTTAGATTTAATAAAATTCGCTGTGCATTCATACGACCAAACAATAAGGAATAAACTTTAAACGATAAAATCTACCCGATCTATTATATTTACTATAACAGAATACTTTATGCATAAAAGAAATTAATACAAACACGACATTGTTAAAAAATTCGCAAAGTCTTTATATTTAATAGTTGACTAACTTTTAATAATAATATTCAGATAACAATACATAAACGTTATAAAATAATAAAATAATTTTGTTAAATTTCTTTTTTCTTGTCTAGAATCAAATTCTACTTGTTACAAGAATAAGCCAAAATGTATGCCAGAAATAGCAGGTTCTGGCAATGTCACATAGTCTAAGAGAGACCTTGTCCGATAGGTACATGATAGAAATATATATAACTCATAGCTTGTTGTTTTGCTTGCATTTATTTACAGAATAGATTATACAGAAAAAATTTAATAGTAAAATTACTTGCTTAAAATATTCTAGGATTGGTGAAGTGCCCTATAAACTACTTAAGGAATTTATTCTGGTCCACCTCTCTGTAACAAATAAGAACTCACTTAATATAAAATTTTTCCTATCTGATGCTGCATTAACTCAAAAAGATATTACATATATTTGAGTACCATGTTTAATTTATCTACATTCGAATAACTTATATTCTATGATTATAATAAAGTAAATGAAAAATTTTGCTACATTAAATAAATAATAAAATAACAATATACTTGCATTAATATATGCAATTTCTTTCTCATCAATAGGTCGTCTTTGATATCGTGGAGGAAGAAAAATATCTTCTATCGTTGGTAAAACAACCACATTAGGCCCTGTTGCACCAGTACTCTGTTGTGACATAGTCGGCCCTGATTGCGTAGACGGTGTGGTTGTACCTTCAGTAGTTAACCAATAACAAGGAATTCAGTCGGCTTTTCCAACCGAAGTATTCAGTTGCACTGTGTAACTTTTATTTAATATTACCTCTGTTAATTCCACCCTTGCGAAATTTAATCATAGGTACATGTGGTTTTACTACCTATCGAAATTTATTTCTTATGAAAAATAATTATCTTTGTTACTTGCATAGATTAACATACGGTATATCCTTTCTCTAATTATACTGATACACTAACCTTCCAACCTTTGCTTGCCATCATAATTATTCTTTAACGTTTCTGCTTCTAATGCGAAGACCAAGTTTGATTTGCAACAGAAGCTTCTTTCGATCACCTTAAACCTTCATGTAGATGGCGTGTTTTGACATACTTTAGCGAGTATGGAATGATCGTTAAATACCTGTGGCTGCTAAATTTTCTAAGGATAACATTAACCTTATCAGAAATTATCAAAAATTAATAAGCAACTTACCTACTTAACTTCATTTGTTTTTTTTTTTTTAGTTTAATTGAAGTATAATTTTACGTACTGTATAAGAGAAATATGCTAAATTTAAGAATTCCTTGATTAAATTTAAGCAAAACCATGAATTATATAAATGTGTACAAATAACATTACGAAAGTGTTTATATCCGAGTGTCTAATGTTTTATCTCTAGAAATTTTCGTAATTGTAACTATTATTCTTTTTTTTTTTATTTATTTTTTGCCCACACGAGTAATACTTTATCTCTTACGTGGTAGTAGTAGGTATATAATATTAAAGATATGCGTGTATATCGTAATAAATTTCATTTTATTGTATATTTAACTTAATTCCAAAATATTTGGTATCAAAAAATTGCTATAAATTAAAATCGTATGGTACAGATAATAAAAATGAAGATGAATAATAACATATAAAATATAACTATTTCGGCAGTCTTTCATTGACTATAATGACATTGATGTCTGATGTCATATTTAGATCTTAAATTTAATCTATTTCTTCCATTCGTGAAGCATCTTCTGCATGTACTTCCAGGGGAGGAATTTCTTCTGTAGTTTGTTCTTCTGGTACAGATTCTTCTTCATCAATACCAAGTCCCAGCTTGATCATTCTATAAATTCTTGCACTATGAACTTGTGGTTCATCTAATGTAAAACCTGAAGAAAGAAGTGCTGTTTCAAATAATAAGATTACTAAGTCTTTTACTGCTTTGCCAGTTTTGTCAGCCTCTGTTTTCTGATTAAGGGCTTCAATGATGGCATGATCTGGATTTATCTCAAGGTGTTTTTTTGCTGCCATATATCCCATAGTAGATGTGTCTTTAAGAGCTTGAGCTTTCATGATTCTTTCCATATTAGCACTCATACCATATTGTGAAGTAACTATACAGCAAGGAGAATCAACTAGTCGGTTTGATACTACAACTTTTTCTACTTTGTTATCAAGAATATTTTTCATTACATTACATAAATTTTCATATTTGACTTTATCTTCTGCTTTCTTCTTTTTTTCTTCTTCATCTTCAGGTAGCTCTAATCCTTCTTTGGTTACAGATACCAATTGTTTACCATCAAATTCTTTCATTTGTTGTACTATATACTCATCAATAGGTTCTGTCATATAGATAACTTCAAAGCCATGTTTTTTCACACGTTCAACAAATGAACTATTTGCAACCTGGTCTTTGTTCTCCCCAGTAATAAAGTAAATATGTTTTTGGTTCTCTTTCATTCTACCTACATAGTCTTTAAGAGAACAAGTTTCATCTCCAGAAGCTGAAGTATGAAACCTCAAAAGATTTGACAATTTATTACGATTAGAACTGTCCTCATGAATACCTAATTTAATGTTTTTGTTAAATTGTTCATAGAATTTCTTATAGTTATCCTTGTCTTCTGCAAGTTCTTCAAATAATTCTATACATTTTTTAATAAGGTTCTTACGAATAACCTTTAAGATTTTATTTTGTTGTAGCATTTCACGAGAAATATTTAAAGGTAAATCTTCACTATCAACTATTCCTTTCATGAAATTTAAGTAGTCTGGAATCAATTGTTCGCAATTATCCATAATGAATACTCTTCGTACATATAGTTTAATATTATTTTTTCTCTTTTTGTTGTCAAATAAGTCAAATGGCATATGTCTTGGAACAAAGAGCAAAGCTCTGAATTCCAATTGACCTTCTACAGAAAAGTGTTTAACAGCCAAATGATCTTCCCAATCATTTGTCAATGATTTATAGAATTCACCATATTCTTCTTGTGTAATATCATCTGGATTTCTAGTCCAAATAGGCTTTGTCTTATTTAATTCTTCATCTTCTGTGTACGTTTCTTTAATAGTCTTTTTCTTCTTCTTCTTCTTTTCTTCTTCTTCTGTAGTTTCCTCAGCCTCGTCTACATTCTCAACTTTTGGTTTTCCATCATCTTCTTTTTTTTCTTCCTCTTCTTCAGCTTCATCCTCACTCAACTCTTTTTCACGTTCTTTTTGAACTACTAATTTAATTGGATAACCAATAAATTGAGAATGTTTTTTTACGATTTCTTTAATTTTCCTTTCTTCTAGGTATTCAGCTTGATCTTCTTTTATGTGCAGAACAATTTTTGTTCCTCGTCCTAATGGTTCTCCATTATCATGTTTGACAGTAAATGACCCACCAGCACTGGATTCCCACAGATATTGTTCATCGTCATTGTGCTTGGAAACTACAGTGACTTTGTCTGCTATTAAATAGGCAGAATAAAAACCTACACCAAATTGTCCAATCATGGAAATATCTGCACCAGCTTGTAATGCTTCCATGAAAGCTTTGGTACCAGACTTGGCAATTGTACCAAGATTATTTACCAAGTCAGCCTTGGTCATACCAATACCAGTATCAATAATAGTTAAAGTCCCATCATTCTTATTTGGAATAATTTTAATAAATAATTCTTTGCTATGATCAAGTTTAGAAGGATCTGTTAATGACTCATAACGTATTTTATCAAGGGCATCACTCGAGTTTGAAATCAGTTCTCTCAGAAAAATTTCCTTATTAGAATAGAAAGTATTGATAATCAATGACATAAGTTGAGCAATTTCTGCTTGAAAGGCAAAAGTTTCCACATCTGCTTTTGTTTCCATTTCTGTTGACATCTGAAATTAATATTAAAAAAATATATGTATCAAACAATTTGAAACATATAATTATTTTTTGAAGATTTAGTAAAAAAAGGTTTCATGTGTTTTTCTTAGTTTTCTGAATGTACAAAAATTATACATGTTTATACAATATATATATTGATATATATGTATATAAATGTAACAAGTAAAGTCTCTTTACTTTCCTATACTTTTATGTTAAATGTCATCTAATAAATGTGATCAAAATTTTTAGAAAGATATAGAAATATAAATAAAGCATGATTAAAATATTAAATTGTATATATAAAAAAAAGAAGGCAATTTTTTTAAATGAATTGGATTAAAAATAGAATTATTTAATAAAGTTGTATTTATAATATCGCTTAGTTACAATTTAATAAAATTATAAAATAATAAAAATTTACTTTAAAAAATGTATGAATTTTTTTATAAATATATTAAGTATTTTTTAACAATCAATTTAAAGCAAATGTACCTTTGATATCCAGTTAAGTTCACGTTAAAATATATTTCAGTAATGCACGAACACAATGCCTGGAACCTGACAGATTATTGAATGGATTCGCGCGACAACTAAGTTTCCTTTTATATACTCACTAAAATTCTAGAATGTTCTAGAATGTTCTAGAACATTTTTACCTCTCTAGACATTCTACATCCGGTAAAATTTAAATTCATCTGAATAATTTGTAATTGATGAATTTTTTTTACTTATGTTACTAATGTCATTGGTTTATTAGGAAATAAAAAGGCATAGTTTATCTTTAATTAAGTAGAAGTACTTCTTACTCAAACGATAAAAACTGGATTAGTTCTTTTATTTCTTAGCGTGGTACTTCCGGCATTTGTTATGAAGAAAATGAGTCAAACATTACTGGACATTTTTGGATAAACGAATAAGTAATTTTTATCTTAACACTGTCTATTGCACATAACTAAGCTATTTCATGATTATCATCATTCGGTGTGCAAAATAAAAATTTGTGATTTACACTTTCCTTAGATAGAAATTATTGACGTTCATATTAATTGATCGGACTATGTGTTTGGTGTTAAATGGACAAAGGATTTCATCGTAATCGTATTAATCTTTTTTTATCCTTATTTATTTATTTATACCTTTTTGCCTTTCAGCGCTGGGGGGAGGGGGGGGGGAGTTCTTTCTACCACTTCATACATATTTATACACGCATACGTACATACATATATGTACACATATCCTTATGAAGTTTGTACATAATAATATACATTTTGTCTTGTGTTGTAAATACATGCACAAAAATTTGTTCATCGAAATATTTTGCACTAATTTTATATTTACATTTTGTTGGTCAATTTTAATATGAGGTGAAGTAGACTAGTTGCTGAAGTAAAATAAAAGCATTTTTATTTTATCTATGAATTTTGAACATTAAATATATGCTCAATCAGGTATCGGTAGTGTATTAAAATATTTTAATGCATTATCTGCACATGAATCTTCTAAGTTAAACAAAGGATGAATTATTTTTACTAAATTTATGTAGGGTAACCCTATGATTAGTGGCCATGGAGAGTTTTGTGCAATTGATAATCCACTAAGTGCATAACATGTGTGATAAACATCTTGACTTTTCCCAGGCTTATCTACAAGACTACCATAAGGATGTTGGCAACAGATTAATAAATATTCTTGTAAAGCCTCTTGATTAAACATCCAATATACAGGATTAAATAATTTGTTTTCCACAGTTAAAATTGTATGAATCAATGGAAAAACTCCACTTTGCCAAAATGAGTAACAACCATCTACAAGTTTATCTGTGCGTCCCTGAAAACCACCTTCTAAGCGCATTTGTCTATTTACTATCCATCTTAGAAATGATTTTAAACAACAATAATGAGGTTTTCCAAGAAGCATAAGTGCTGCTAATCCACAAAATGCATATCCACCATGAGCTTCCATCCCAGGAAAACTACCAAAACCACCTTCCCATGTTTGACATTTAGCTATCCAACTTTCACATCCTTTAAATATTTCAGGAGTATATACATTTGTTAATTTTGCTACAGAAAGAGCACAATATATCCCCCTTATATCTGTTTCTCCATCTTTATGTAGGCTAAAAGAACCATCCTCTCCATGTAAAGATGATAAAAATTGTTTAAGTCCTTTTCTATCAATTACTTGATAAGCTTGAGGAGTGCCAATGGTACATAATGCATTTATTGCGGCATATGTAGTGGCTAAATGGGGATGTTGCCCCGGGCCTCCTCCAAAACCTCCTTCTGGTGACTGACATTTGGATAAAAAATTAATAATTTTAGAATATTCTTCATATTCTAAACGTTCTCCTAGGATTTGAAGAGAATGTAGACTCCAATAACATAACCATGGTCTGCTCGAATCTAAACATTGATAATCTTCGCTAAGACGAAACAAAGATTTTTTTAAGAATAGAATATGTTTTTGTCTTGCTAAAAGTGGCTCATTATTCAATTTGTATAATTTCAGTATGTCATTTTCAACGCGATCCTGACGCACTGAATTTGTAGTTTTACATCCTTCATCATCTTGTTTTTGTTTTAATATTTCAGCATAAGTTCGAACGTATGGTTCATCGAGTTCATTTATCATTGAATTCCACATAATCTTTCTTCCTTCTACAATTGCCTTTCTTAGCGCCTCAAATTCGTTTAACAACTTTTCCGCTAACTTTTCGTTCATGCATTTTACCGCCATTTCCTTCGTTGTTCTTGCATTGGTTGTACTACCATTTGCTCCTACCTCGTATTTTTCTAATATCTTTCCTTCCTTCTTATCCTTTGCCTTATTTTTACTAACAACCGGTCTTCCTGTCATCTCCGCTTCCCACGCTGTCTTTTAACCTCACTTTTCTATTTCTTCTGATATCTTTACTATTTTTAATTCTTTTCCTTTTGCTACATTTTTAAGTTGTACTAAACTGATGATCTTTTCTCTTTCACTTCTTTTTTACTACATATTCGTTTTTCTAATTATTTCGTACTTTTCTTTATTCTCCATAATTTTTCGTCAACTTGTTTACTTTTACCCTTTATCAGGAGTTTGTAATTGTATAAAATCACCGAAATAAAGATATATAAATAAATAAGATAGATTCTTATCTCTGATATGTTTTATCATTGCAGTGTTTTATCACTCTAAAAGATTATTGCCTTTGTGTAAATGATTTTGTAAAAATTAATTTTTCTTTATTATAATTTAGCTATTATTTCGATCGAAGCTATTTGACAGATACTTTTATAACGAATCATAATATATCATATTCATTGCAACGTTAAAAGAATATTAAGAAATAAATTATCCATCCGTAAATTAGATTATCAAGGGATAGGAAAGGATCATTTCTATAAGAAAAAAAAAAAACAATATGTAGACGTATTTCTTTATATTTAGTTTTTCAAACATCTTATTTGTAATAATATTTAAAAAGATTGAGAGAGAGATAATGGTGATTGAAGTAGGAAAAGAATTCATAAAAACCGCGGAATTCAGTCGGTATTATATTGTATTTCTTCATCTATCGGAAAGTGGCGCCCTCTAAGTTTATTGCAAATCGATCAATTTTACATCTTGTGTTCGATAGAAAGTAGTCAGATGTTAATTTTATTAAATAAATGTGCTTCTACTGGAAAAGTTTAATTAGTTTCTTCCGGTAAGAATATTCACATTAATAATATTAAATATTGTCTATTTTTTAGCTTCTAAAGAAACACGAAGCTTAATTTTCCAGAATATTTTTCTCATTTAAAACCTTATAGAAACAATGTAATTGTTTTCTATTCTCCCGTATTCTAGCTTGTGTTAAAGTTGATCTATAAAGTTACATAGAAGTTTGGTAGACAATTTCTTAGAAAATGAAATATGACAACGTAAGAAAACGAAATATCGATCCTTGTAAGTTTTCAATAGGTAATCGAGTCACGTGGCAATGACACTACTAGTAATTACAAATGCCTAACTCGTAGATTTTCATGCAGAAGGAATACAGAAATCTTCGAAGCACGTTAGGCGCATCCCTTTTTCTGTTCATCGCAACTTCGATGTAACGTTTGTTAATTCTACAGAGAATCTTCCATCGATATGTTTAGTAAGTATTTATTGGGAATTTGGAAGTCTTAAGAAATTCCTTTTATTATTTCTCCTCGTAATTTATATTTATTTACAATGAAAAAGATCAACGACGTTCACATGTGTATAAGCCTTGTGTTAATCTTTACATTTATCAGTTAAACGTTTACTCGGTTAGTCGAAACGTAGAAGAATTACGAAAAATCGCTGGAGTTGATATGGCGAGGAGCTTAACTCCGGTAACCTAGCTTTATGATGTCGAATAATACTCATACAGCTAGATAACCAAAGAAAATGTCCGCGCCAAGATCTTCTTGTTGCCTTGAGCGATGAAATACTTGCATGGAAGTTGATCGTCTCGATCAATCGAATCGTCTAGAATCGTAAACCTGCTTTACCATCAGCAGCCTACCGGTTCGTCATTGTCGGATTTCTCGAGAACGCAAAGATGAAGTGTAGTCGAATCTTGGTCGTGTAGCATCGATCTCGGTATACATGCAGATCGATCGTTCACGACACATATGAACGTTTCTTTTTCTCTCTCTCTTTCTCTTTCTCTCTCTCTCTCTATCACATAAGCGACAATCACTATATTTCCTGGTGCAGATAATGGCATGCACGTGTCGATGGTGTCCCCACTCTGTAACAGAAAGACGGAGAAATCGGAAACCATTTTACAACAATCGTCCCTTTGTCGCGTAACCACGATTGATTGATATGCGCGCACGGCTTTGAAAAGTGAAACACAACCGTTGACATTTCGGAGTGAAAGTTAGTCGTCAGTAAGAGGGGGCGCCTCGGGTACAGTATAACCAGAGGCTATGAGCGTATATCTGGAAATTTTTCTTTCGTTTCCAGGCCAAAATCATCCTACCTAAAAGCACGATATGGAAAGCACCGAATGCAGAGAAAGCGGAGGGAACACGGCCAGACGGTGTAACGATTTCGATTAACGTGTACTGTTCGCTCGGAGTCGTTTAAGTGAAACGTAAATGGTCGAAGAAACGAGGCGATACGGTTTTGCTGAATCGTACAACGCGCAAGACGTTATGTTGTTACGTCATAATTACTTCGGCTGAAAGCCGTGCATCTTGCGGTATCATCGAGTTTCCTGGTTGTCGTTTCCGACTCACTGATTCACAACTTTAACAAAAGTTATGCTTCGAGAGCACGAATACGTGCGCGATGATGAATTTCGGATTCCGGGAACGTCGTGCGTAAGATGCGACTAACGTTTCGTTCGAATCGGTGAAATATTAATACGCGAATAATCGTAGCAGCGAAGATATTCCGTATTCGTAGAGTTCGTCGCGCGAATTGCTTTCTATTCGTTAGAATAAAAGAAATTTGACATTCTTCCGTTGCTTTGTATCGTCGATTATTGTCACGTTATTTGCATTTGCCGGTTACAGCGAAGGCTGCGCCGATATTCAATGCTGTGCTTTTCGTTCGATCAGCCCGCCAGTAGACCAGTACGATGTTTCGTAAGAACTTCCATTTGGAGAAAGTTATGATCTCACGCTGCATTGCACGCGTGTCTGGATTCTATTTTATCATCAAGCTGTTCGGTGCTTTCCGCGCTCCTCCAAGTCGTCTCTTTATCTTATTCGACTTCTCAATCTCGATATTAAATATACACAACACCGTGAACAGAAACGACATCGGTTACTCGGGGAACTGTGGACTCGCGCAACGAAAATCGGAGACGTTTGGCAGTTTATATTTAAATAACACGCTTATCGAATCTGATACGCGGTAAAATACGTCAGTTTCGGCAGGCGTTATCGAGTTTCGCAATAGATAATTTTAAAAGATTGCGACACGACTTTTATTTTATCTGTTCGTTCGTTGATCCGTAATTCTTGAGAATGTAAAAATACGTTCTGGGACGAAATCTAAAACTCTGCTGGAATATTTGAAATTGAATCTACGATTGTCGCGTCTCGGAGGAACGGAATCGTGCGAGTCTCCGTTCATCTCCGCGGGCGTGCACGCGTTTTATCGCGAGAGTGAAAGTACAAAAGATCCCATTAAGAAAGGAGTAAAAGATCGGAAAAGAAAGAAAAAAAAAAAAGAAAAGAAATGAACCGTGGCGCACTCACCTGCGAAACTGCCGGTTTATTTCTGGCTCACTCTCGTATCGGGCGTAACAGGAAGGCTGACCAGAAAGATTTAGTCTCGACTCAACGGATAATGCCCGACTTTCTAAAACTTAATTTTCTTTATTTTTTCCCCCTGTTGAAAGCTGCTGCAACGACAAAGGCGACGGAGATTTCTAGCCTAGTACAGCTGCTGAAACGGTTTATCCGAGCCGGGAAGAAGCCCACCGACACGTACCCACTGCAAACACGAGTGAGTACCTATCTTTCACGATAAGCCAGCCTTCGATTCTTTCCGTTTCTCTGTCACGGTTGCTACAGTTCGACTACGTAATTATCGGCGTTTCTTGCAGGAAAATCAGCAGGACCGAGCATATCGCGAGCGCAACGTCGCGAACTGCGAGAAGAGGCGATCTACGAGACGATAAGAGACCCGATGATCGTTCCCGCGATCGAAAGATTGTGCTTCGCTCTCGAAAGAAATCGGCGCCCGATCGTTGTCCGAGGTGATAAGTTATTTTCGGTGTCGAATCCCAAGGCTAGTCGGTTTAACGGTCTAATTAACAGTTTACGATTTAATTAACAGTCCCGTGTCCAGTCGAGCCATTACCAGGGTCTTTGCACGATACGCCTTATTGACCGTACGTTTTATCGAGAACTTTTCTGCTGCGTTCCCCGAGTATGTTGCGCAACGACCAGGGATCCCGTACGTGGCCGTTCGTGTCGACACGCGCGTCTTCCAAATCACCAACTTACCCCTCCAGTGAGAAAAATCGGCAGGTTGTTTACAGCCGGATGGACAAAAGTATCGCGAGCTAACGAGCCGATTCGGTACCCTCGGTAAATTCGTTTCCTAACGAGGCTGGCTTTCGATGCGACTCCCAATCGTTTACGCAAACACAGCTGCACGAGTACTCGAGATAGTAGGGGCTAATGTCGCTTCACTTATAATCATTATCACTTCGAGTGTAGTTATCGAGCTCGATTTAATTTCTCTGCGGCGCTGGAACGGTTACGAACGCGCGAAAAAAGAAGAACCATCTTTACGCCAGTTGGCGGATATTTTTCCCAATTTCCGGGCATATTTCCAACGTCTTTCCCTTATCTTCGCCACGCCATCGCGAATACTAGTTTCTTTTATTTGCGTACTCGTTATCGCTTCTCTCGACTGGCAGGTTCCAAGCGAACGATCGTTTTTCTCATCTGGAAAATAAATCGGCACGATTAAAGCTCGCGCGGTGATGGACATCGCGAGTCGGGAAAAAATTCAAAGCCGGCAATTTTAATTACAATTTGAACGTACGAGAGAGGCTAGCAAACGTTAGGTTGAGTCGGTAAACATCGAGGAGGTAAACAATCGTTAGACCCGAGCGAACGATTCCAAAGGATGAAGGAACGTCTGAAGGAAAAGTAAACTTTCGGTTTAAATGTTTGTACGGGACAAGTAATGAAAGAATACGTTACGGTTAGGCGATACCTGTGTGTCTCGCTATGTACCCAACGAACGAAGTCCATTTAATTTACAGATTAATTTACGATCGCGAAGCAGGCATTCGTTTGGCTATTTCGTAACCCGGGGATCGTTGCATTTTTGCGGGGGCAGAAACGAAAATCTCGGTATTTTCTCGCGAATCTAGTGACGCACGGAACCGTTTGCTCGGTGTCATTCGCAGCTGAGGATTCACAGCTCGGTGCCACACACGCGGTGGCGGGCGAACACTGGTATGCATATGTACGTTTTATTTCTCGGTCGCTCGCTCTACCGTGCAAATCTCGAATGCATTCGCTGGCACGTTGGAGATCGTTCGCGATACAGGCTTCCGCAATGCCATAACGCCACCGCACCGCCGATCCTCGCCGAGGCTGTGACGCAGAAAAGACTACTTTTTGTTGCTCGTGGAGTAGAGAAAAAAAGATCGAAACAGGTTCATGGAAATAGACGGACGAGTCATGTTCATGTGACTCGATAGGATCATTGTTTTTGGACGTAAGAAGGGAGCGACCGTAGATACTCGATCGTGTATTACATTATCGTGGAGAAGTGTTCGCTGAATGCTGTGGCCGCTACGCGTTATTAATTACGCGTTACGGTTGGCTATTATGTTCTCGCGCTAATGCCAGTTTGAAGGTGAGAACAGCTTTGAGTTAGAATCACGTCGATAAGAACGTTATTTAGCCGCTCGACGCGAATTTAAATGTCGCCACTGCCTCGTGGTTTATTAATTCCGCGTCGCGGCCTTTGCAGGCGAATTTTGTTCAAGGGAATTATAGGGGGTTATCGCCGCTCCTTAATCCCAAATATTCGGGAGTAAGTAACGGGATTGTGGGTTCACAATTGTAGAATAACTACGATTCACGTAATTCTCTGTTAAATTCCTTTATTACTCCAGAAAGGTGTATCTATCTCCGAGTGTTTCTCTAGAGCGACTGACCGACTCGCGGGAGAGTGTCGAGAGGGTACGTGACGCAGTTAGCCTAAGCCCCTAATTCTTATCTAATGTTTATATAAACATTCGTTCTCGGAATTTAGTCCTTAAACTATTTAGACCTTATATCCTAGACTGATTTTTGTATATATATGAAAACTTTTCGACAGGAAGAAGATTGAAAGGGTAGGAGGTGCGTGGCGTAAAAATTTGGAGCGCATGAGAGAACAGGAGGAACAAAAGCGTTCGAACGACTGTTATTTTTCCACGGTAGTCAGATTCAACCTGTTGCTAAGAGGCTCGAGGAAATTCGCACGCGAAACGGTGCGAATCGGCAACGAGTAGACTCGGCTCAGAGAAGCGCGAAGGATCGGGCAAGAAGAACGTTGGCCGCAAACGCGGAACCATGGTAATTTTTCAAGTTCGAACCGCGAAATCTTGAAAAAAAAAAAAAAAAAAATAGAAAAAGAAAGAGGGAAAAGGAAGAGAAGGAAAAACGATCGGAAGGTTTTGCTTGGGAAAAGAAGCGGCTAGTCGTGGACTAGACAAGAATGCAAACGCGGTAACGTTCGCCTCGACCTTGTAAGTTACGTTCACCGAAGATCAACGGATTTTTATTCGTTTGATTCTAAACCGAGCGATTTGCGGTTAAAAAATTGACCGTGCCAACTCGCGCTTTCGAGCCAGACACGCCTTTGGCTTTACGGATAATCCTTTCGTCGATGGAATTTAATTTCATTTCGTCCGAATTGGCCGGAATTCGGAATTCAGAGGAACTCGAAGTAACCGGATTATAATTGGTAATGGAGCGAACGACGAGTGAAAAATTGGAATAAAATCGTACGTGGATTAACGGACACGGCTATGTCTTTTTGTACGAAGTATAGATAGGAGAGCATACCTGTTGCTCGGAGTCGAGGACACGGCCGAGTCGATACGTGAATTTTAAGTCCGCTACTGCTTGCTCCGTCTTACCAAGGGCACATAGACTCGGATCGAAAGAAGAGGAAAGAGAGGAGTCACACCTGGCGCGGTACGAGATGAGATCACTACCGCACTCACTGATCAACTGGCCCCGCGCCCCACGTCCGGGGCCGCACGCACCTTTCGCGTTACCCCTTCCCCCTCCAACTCCGGAACCTAGAGCTCGCTGCCCCCCTCGGGGCCCCTTCGGCCCCCTTCGACCCCCTCCACATCCTCTTTACCTCTTCAGCCGCGCTTCGAACGCCCATTGGTCCGTTCAAATCGACGTCGTGACGTCACCGAACCGAACTACCGGCATACATACAAGAGGAACGAGTCTCTCTCTCTTCTCTCCTCTCCTCTCCTCTCCTCTCCGCTCCTCTCCTCTCCTCTCCTCTCCTCTTCGCTCCTTTCTCCTCTCCTCTCCTCTCCTCGCCGCTCCTGTGCTTTCTACCCCGCTCCGTTCCGCCCCTTGCCGCGCGGCTCCCCTTCTCGATTCCATTCTTTTCTCTTGTCTCTTCTCTCTCCCGTGCTCTTCACTTGGTCCTCTTTCCTCGAGTCGACTACCTGTCCTCCTACCTATGTCCGTCTTCTATCGTTCTTTTCTTCTCCCTCTCTCTCTCCTTCTCCGCTCGGTTTTCTCGTTTGGCCGGCTCTCTCGGAGCATTACCACGGCATCCCTGTCCTTCTACCTGGTTGATTCGTTCTTTATCGCGTTGCCTCGTCTGCCTTTCCTCGCGCCGGCATCTCGTTCTCCTCGTTCCCGAACACTCTTCTGGCTCGCCGTGAGTTCGCGATCCTTCCACGCGGCATCTCGTGTATTCCCCTCTTGTTTCCTTTGCTTTATAGGTAACCGTTGACCCGTGTGCGCTGCCTCTTTTTCTACTTTTAGTCCTCAAAGATTCTCGCCGGTTCCCCAGTGGCTACTACAGCGCTTTCGTTCAACGGTCTCGATCGATCTCTAGGCATCGCTTCGTTCTTCTCTTCCTTTCTTTCTTTCTTTCTTTCCCCGCTTATTTTTCACTTTTAGCCTCGTCTCCGACACGGCAACTCGAGTTTCTATTTTCCTCGGTTCTCCAAACTCTTCGAAGCTCTTCGGAGCTTTCCTCGACGTTGGCCGCTAAGGCCGCGCCGGTCGCAGGCCGATGGGGCGTTGCTGACTCGACGCGTTGGAAAGCGGCGCGGATCCGTTAAGTCGAATCGCGGTTCCTTTCCTTCTGGCCGGTCGCGGCTGTACCGGTCGCCGGCCGACGAGATTGTCCGCAAGAGGTTCGCCGCCGTGGTTGCCGCCACCGTCACCGCCACCGTCACCGTCACCGCCACCGCCACCGCCACCGCCACCGCCGCCGCCATCGCCATCGCCATCGCGCCACCGCCACCGCCACCGCCAACGTCGTCGCCACAACGAAGCGAGAGTAGCCCGCCAGGTATATGGAGAGACAGAAAAAGGAAAAAAGGACGCATTCCAACGACTATAGTCGGTCCATAACGATTCCCATACGTTGAGAGTGCGCAACGAACAACCAATGACCCCTCTACCGATCTCTCGCGCCTCCTCCTTTTCCCTCCTTCCCACCCTTCTTTTTCTTTTCCCTTTCACATCTTCTCCTTCTCCGTTTCTCCTCTTTCTCCTGTTCTCTCTCCTGCATTTTGCACGATTCCACGTGTCTCGTCTCGTCCCTCTTTTTCTTTCTTCTGTCTTCTTTTCCCCTCTCTTCTCTTCGCTTCTCTCCGCTTCTCTCCTCTCTCACCGGTCGTTTCGCTCGCGTACCTGTCTACGTACGTTTACCTGTACGTGTGCGCCGCGTACACCGCGATCGAGGTGAAGGCACGGCCTCGTATGTACCTCTACGTAGCCGCGCTCTGTCCTCTCGTTTTTCGAAGAAAATGCACGACGTCACCACAATGATCGTCGTCGAGTCGAATATTTCTCGAATACCCGAACCACCTCTCTGCTATTCGTCCCTTCTCGAATATCCTTGCCGGGCTTCTCGACTTTGCGCCTTCTTGTGCTAACCCAACGAATCCAGCCATTCCTGCCTTCCCAGACATCCGCGCGATCTGTCGGACCTGTGCCTAGGTCCGAGATCGTAGGTGTACGTAATTACGGGTCAGTGGCAAAAGGAGCCGCTCGCGATTTTCTTCCCCTTCGTTCCCTCGCGTGGAAACTCCTTGTCGATTCACGTCCAATCCATCGGCGACGACCGACGCGGAACACGAGGTTTCGTGGGGAAGATCCAGTACACGTCGTGTGGGAATCTCGTGCGTGCCTCGACGATAGCGCTTTTTCTCGGTTCCTCGACGAATTTCGTAACAGCGTAAGGACGTTAATGCCTCCGCTTCGAGCACGTCGGCTTATTACC